GAACTTAAAGACACAAACAAACTAAGCAAACAACTAGAACAGGAACAGAATCACAGAAATGGAGATCACATAGATGGTTATCAGTGGGGAGGTGGAAGGGGGAGAATAGGAGAAATGGTACAGGGAATAAGGAGCATAAGTAGTAGGTACAAAATAGACAGGGGCAGGTTAAGAATCATTTAGGAAATGGGGAAGCCAAAGAACTTATATGTATGACCCACTGACAGGAACTAAGTGCGGGGGGAGAATGCTGGAGGGAGAGGTGGTGCAGGGTGGAGGAGAATAAAAGGGAGAAAAAATTGAGACAATTGTAATAGCATAATCAACAAAATATATATTAAAAAAGTAAAAAATAAAAGTATTTTTTAAACTATCTTTATTCTATAGTATAACATTTAATTACATTATTTCATTAGAAGATATTTTAACTTTCATTTTTTAAAATTAATTAATTTTTCCAAATACATTTGTCTCCACCTTCCCCCCACCACTTTCCTCTGCCCCCCTCCTCCCTCTCCCTCCCTCAATCCTTCCCCCATTTGGCTTTGTCCAAGAGTCCTTGCTCTATGTTCCTTGACTTGTCCCTTCCCTTACTTTTCCCCTGCCCACCCTTCCCTCTTTCCCTCTTGTCTCTGTTGGTTTCTTTTCCTTTCAGTACTGCTGGTCTTATTTCCCTTGCATCTTTGTTTTGTCGGTTAGGTTCTGCTTACAGGTGAGATCATATGGTATTTGTCTTTCGCCCCCTGGCTTATTTCGCTTAGCATAATGCTCTCCAGTTCCATACATGCTGTCGCGAAGTTTAGTAGTTCTTTCTTTCTTTCTGCTGTGTAGTATTCCATTGTGTATATGTACCATCACTTTTTGATCCAATCATCTACTGATGGGCATTTAGGCTGCTTCCGACACTTGGATATTGTAAATTGTGCTGCTATGAACATTGGGGTGCCTAGGTTCTTTTGAATTGGCGTTTTGGGATTCTTAGGGTATAGTCCCAGCAGGGGAATCACTGGATTAAAAGGCAGTTCCATTTTCAGCTTTTTGAGGAAATTCCACACTGCTTTCCACAATGGCTGCACCAGTCTGCATTCCCACCAACAGTGGACCAGGGTTCCCTGTTCTCCACAGCCTCGCCAGCACCTGTTGTTTGTGGATCTGTTTATGATGGCCATTCTGACCAGTGTGAGGTGGTACCTCATGGTGGTTTTGATCTGCATTTCTCTGATGGCTAGTGATGCTGAGCATCCTTTCAAATGTCTCTGGACCCTCTGTATCTCTTCCTTGGAAAAGCGTCTGCCCAGGTCCTTTGCCCATTTTTGATTGGATCGTTTGTCTTCTTGGAGTGGAGTCATGTAAGTTCTTTATATATCTTGGAGATCAAACCTCTATCTGAGGTATCATTAGCAAATATATTTTCCTATACGGTTGGCTCCCTTTTCATTTTGCTGATGTTTTCTTTCGCCGTGCAGAAGCTTCTTATTTTGATGAGGTCCCACTTGTTTATTCTTTCCTTTATGTCCCTTGCTTTAGGAGACATATCGGTGAAAAAATTGTTGCGTGGGATACCTGAGAGTTTCCTGCCAATGTTCTACTCTAGGACTTTGATGGTGTTGTGACTTATATTTAAGTCTTTTATCCATCTTGAGTTTATTTTTGTGTATGGTATCAGCTGATGATCCAATTTCAACTTTTTGCATGTAGCTGTCCAGCTCTCCCAATAGCATTTGTTGAAGAGGCTATTATTACTCCATTTTATAGTTCTGCCTCCTTGGTCAAACATTAGTTGCCCATATAGACATGGGCTTATTTCTGGGCTTCCTATCCTGTTCCACTGGTCTATGGGTCTGTTCTTGTGCGAGTACCAGATTGTTTTGAGTATAGTGGCTTTGTAGTAGAGTTTGATGTCCGGTATTGTGATCCCTCCTACTTTGTGTTTCTTTCTCAAAATTGCTGCAGCTATTCAGGGTCACTTATGGTTCCATATAAATTTTTGAAATGTCTGTTTTATTTCTGTGAAATACGTCATTGGTATTTTAATAGGGATTGCGTTGAATATATAAATTGCTTTGGGTAGTATGGACATTTTGATGATATTAATTCTTCCAATCCATGAGCATGGTATATGCTTCCATTTATTTGTGTCTTCCTTAATTTCTTTTTTCAATGTTGTATAGTTTTCTGTGTACAGGTCTTTTATGTCTTTGGTTAAATTTATGCCTAGGTACTTTATTTTTCTTCTTGCTATATCGAATGGTATTTTTTTTCTGATTTCTTCTTCTTCTATTTCATTGCTGGTGTACAAAAATGCCTTTGATTTCTGAATATTGACTTTGTATCCTGCTGTTTTGCCAAATTCACTTATTAGGTTGAGGAGTTTTTTGGTAGAGTCTACAGGGTTCTCTATGTACACTATCATGTCATATGCAAACAATGATAGCTTTACTTCCTCCTTTCCTATTTGGATGCCTTTTATCTCTTTCTCTTGTCTGACCACTGTGGCTAGGACTTCCAATATGATGTTGAAAACAAGCAGTGAAAGCGGACATCCTTGTCGTGTTCCTGATCTTAGTGGAAAAGCTTTCAGTTTTTGCCCATTGAGTATGATATTGGCTGTAGGTTTTTCATATATGGCCTTTATCATGTTGAGGAATGCCCCATTTATTCCCATTTTGCTGAGTGTTTTGATCATAAATGGGTGCTGAACCTCATTGAATGCTTTTTCTGCGTCTATCGAGATGATCATGTGGTTTTTGTCTTTTCTTTTATTTATGTGACGTATCATGCTTATTGACTTGAGTATATTGAACCATCCCTGCATGCCTGGGATGAATCTCACTTGATCGTGGTGGATAACCTTTTTAATGTATTGCTGGATGCGGTTTGCCAATATTTTGTTGAGGATTTTAGCGTCTATGTTCATCAGCGAAATTGGCCTGTAGTTTTCTTTCTTTGTAGGGTCTTTATCTGGTTTTGGGATCAGGGTGATGCTGGCCTCATAGAAAGTGTCCGGGAGTCTTCCCTCCTCTTGGATTGTTTGGAATAGTCTGAGAAGGACAGGGGTTAGCTCTTCCTTAAGTGTTTTGTAAAATTCTCCTGTGAAACCGTCCGGCCCTGAGCTTTGGTGTGCTGGGAGTTTCTTGATGACTGCTTCAATTTCCCCAGCTGTTATCGGTCTGTTCAAGCTTTCTGTTTCTTCCTCCTTCAGTCTTGGAGATTATACTTTTCTAAAAATTTGTCCATTGCATCAAGGTTTTCAAATTTCGTGGCATATAATTGTTCATAGTAGTTTCTGACAATCCTTTGTATTTCTGTGGTATCAGTTGTTATTTCTCCTCTTTCATTTCTGATATTATTAATTTGGGTCCTCTCCCTTTTATTCTTGATGAGTCTGCTTAAAGGCTTGTCGATTTTACTTATCTTTTCAAAGAACCAGCTTCTGGATTGGTTGATCCTTTGAATTGTTCTTTTCATCTCTATGTCATTCAGTTCTGCTCTAATCTTGACTATTTCCTTCCTTCTACTTGCTCTGGGATTTATTGGTTGTTGTTTCTCCAGTTCTTGAAGTTGTAGTGTTAGGTCTTTTATTTGAAATGTTTCTATCTTTTTTAGGTAAGCCTGTATTGCTATGAACTTCCCTCTCAGGACTGCCTTTGTTGTGTCCCATAAATAAAAGTATTTTTAAAAAATATTTTATTTATTTATATTTAGAGACAGGAAGGGAGAGAGGGAAAGAAACATCAATGTGTGGTTCTCTCTCATGTGCCCCCAACTGTTCACCACAACCCAGGCACGTGCACTGACTTGGAATTGAACTGGTTACCCTTTGATTTGTAGGCCAGCTCTCAATCCACTGAGCCATTCATCTGGGGCTCAATACAACATTTAAAAGCAGGTAAAACCAGTATCGCTTAGCAAAGACTGAAACCAAATATGATGAATCTCAAAGGTCAGTTCTTGGGGCATATTTTTTAGACTGTCATATGGTGAAAATTAGACCAAATTCATTAAGATTCTTGATGAACTATTCCAGGTCTACATATACCCAACTGCAGTAAGAAAGGGGGTGTTCTACTGGCAACAAGTGTTTAGAGCCCCAAAATGTTCATATTCTTTGATCTAAGGATGTCACACTTAAGAATTTATCTAAAAAAATAGTTCAATGATATGTACATAGAAATCATTAAAACATGACGTGAAAGAGAATAAAATTGGAAAGTAAGCCAATTGTCCAATATTCAGTAGAGCTAAGTAAATCAGGGTATATATACACACATACTATGATGTTATATAACCACAAAAATACCAATCTGATGATTCAGTAAAAACAGAGAGAAAGTATAAGAGATCAGGCTAAATTAAAAAGCAGAATATGAAATGATTATGGACAATTTGACTGATCAATGTATACAAATATATTCAAGGAATAAAAAAGTAAACGAAGTAAATAATCTAAAGTTGTAAAAATAAAAAGGCAATGATATAATAAATTAGTTTTACTTTTTATAAGGTTTGTTTTATTAATAATAATAATAATAATTGCTAACCCTCACAGGGGCTTTCAATACTAAGTTCTTTAAATGCTCATTTTACTCTCATAATAACCTTATGAGGCAGATACTATTATTACTCTTATTTTACAAGTAAAAATACTAAAGTTTAGAGAGAGTAACTGGCTGAGATCACACAGAGATTAGGTGGCAGACCTGAGGTTGGACCTTGCCCTGGCTTATATCGAAGTCCAGGCTTCTGATCATGACATCATACTTCTGTTTAGTTTTATTTTGCAGTTAAAAGATGTATTGTTTTAAAACAAATAAAGCCATAGTAAAATCAAATGGCATCTCCTTCCTGTTTAAAGAAGTCCTTGGACCCTAACTGGATTGGTGCTCTCTAAGTAATCAGGGTGGTGGGGGTGGGAGAGAGAGAAGGAAAACCCACACAGGGATGGCAGTGGCTCAGGAGAGGAGGGAGGGAGGAAACACTGACTCATCGAAGTTTCTCACCTCTGCTAGTGCCCTGCTCACATGATTCTCCTTCTTGGCAGCCTCCTGGAGTTCCATAGCCTGCTGGATGTACATTTTCCCAGCTAGGATTTCATTTTCCAGCAGTGACAGCTCTTTCAATGAAATGGGCCAATTCAGTCGTTCTAATGCCTCATTTAAAGCTGCCTTGTTTTCTAAGTACTGTATTGGTTTGTTTGCATCTAACCTAAAAAAGAAAAAAGGAAGAAGAAACAAAACAAAGAAAGTGACCATAATAGAAAAAAATGTGGAAAGATGGTTTTTTAGTCAACCTTCCCCTGAAAAACATCTGTCAAAACAGATGTCAGATATCAGTTAACAGAATCACAGCCACATTCTCTGGTCTGTGGGGAACTTTGGTAGCTCACTCAAGTTAAAAATAACCACCTCTGTAAATTATGGTAGGCACTTTTCCCTGTTACCTAATTTGATTATCTGATTTGACACATGTATTTTTGTTAACAATTTCTTTTTGCATATTTAGAACCCATTTCTTTCTCTCCAGGCCTAACATTTGGCAGAACCAAAAATGTGCTTCAAAAAGATTCCAAACAAATATCATTTAGCAGTGACTCTGGAAAATAAAGGAAAGCAAAAGACAGCAAAGCTAAACAAAACCCAAATATTTGTCTCAGTGTAGTAATTCTTCTACCAGCTCATTTCAGCTATTTTGATCTCCTCTTCTCCTTGTAACCCTAAATAGGTCTAAACTTTCTGGCTTCATTGTTTAGGTGGGTAAAGAATAGGAGCTGAACTTTCTATTTCTGAGGAACAGGCTCCATGGGAAGCCAGTGTGGTATGATGGCCCACATCCTAGATTGTTTTTCCAGTCCCAGCTGCTATGGAGTCAGACACTTGGGGAAGGAGAGAGAAGGCGGGTGGGGTAGAGGGAGAGAGCTCATTTCATAATCACCATTCTCCTACTGCTGAAAATGTCATTTCCTTTAGATGTAGGGTGTTGGAAGAATATAGTGTAAACCCAGCACAACCACAGCACTCAATCCACAAATAAACTTGTTTCCAGACAACAACAGAAACTCTTATTAAAAATCTAAATTGGAGTGATGTCAGAAAGATGGTGCAATAAGAAACCCCAGACCTTCATTTCCTCAAAGAGATACCAACTTAACAAGAATATATGGACAAAATAACTTTTGTGAGAATTCCAGAAGCCAGTTAAGAGCTGGTAGCACTCCTCAAACCCAAGAAGAAAAGTCACTGAAGTGCATAGGAAAATTTATTGCATTTTGCCTGGCTTAGCCCCTCCCTTCACAGGCACAATGCTGCTCAATTGAGAAAAAACTCCTAAATCTCAACTTCTTCATCGGGAGGGAAAGAGAAAAGAGAACACACACCCAACAATCTGGCTTTTGTTGGGTCTTCCAGAGACACTGGTTTCTGTCTCATCTGACTCAGAACACTGATGGGAAGGGCTGTACGCTTTGGATGCCAGATTAGGAGCCGCTGAGAACAAAGCCCAGTTCCATGGCTTCTTACACCACAAGAGACTGCAGTACCAAAAATAGACACAAGGTGGAGCAAGAGATTATGGGCTCCAGAGAGGAAATGGGGGCAAACCCTTTTGGGAAACGACATACACAAGCCTGCAGGAGACAAAGCCCCAGAAAAAGAGTTGGAAGGTTCTCAGCATCCCTAGCCTGGATGATTGATCAAAGCCTTTCTCTGTAAGAAGACAGTATATAATGACTGGGACAGGTGTCTTTTCTCAAATGCTCAACTAAAGGCAACTAAAGATGCTAAGGCATACAAAGAAACTTAGAAAGATGGCCAAAGAAACAGAGAAGGAAAGAAAAATGACCAGCATTATCTCGGTGCCAAAACCAAACAAAGATACTAAAGAAAAGGAAGCTATGAGACCATTTTCATTTATGGATATAGAGGTAAATAGTCTCAACATAATAGTAGCAAACTATATCCAACAGAGAACATTAAAAGGATTAAATACCATGACCAAGTATGATTTAACTCAGGCACACAGCCATACATGGTGGTTGAATATGAAGAAATCAATTGATTTAATATACCACAACATATCCACAGAACAAACAGGGAAAAAACCCACATGACCATCTCAATAGATGCAGAAAAAGCATTTGATAAAATCCAACATTTCGTGATAAAAACAATGAGCAAACTATTAATAGAAGGGCACTTCCTTAAAATGATAAAGGGTATTTATGAAAAACCCACAACTAACATCCTGCTCAATGGTGAGAGACTGATCAGGAACAAGAAAAGATGCCCCTTCACCAGTGCTATTCAATATCATAAAGACCAATTAGGCAGAAGAAGGGAACAAAAGGCATACAAATTAGAAAGGAGAAGTAAAAACATCTCTATTTGCAGATAGAGATAATCTCACTCTGCATATAAAAATTCACTCAGAATTGATCAGTGACCTAAATTAAATATAAGAGCTAAACCCAGAAAAGTATTAGAAGAGATTTACAGGGGTAATTCTTCATGACCTCATATTTGGCAATGGAATGATTTCTTAGATTTGACACCAAAAGTATGAGCAATGAAAGAAAATGTAGATAAACTGACTTCATAAAAAATAAAAACTGGGCAAAAAAGGGAAATTATCAAGAATGTGAAAAGACAATGCATAGAATAGGAGAAAATATCGACAAATCATATATCTGATAAAAGCTGAACATCCAGAACTTTTATAACTCAACAACAAAAGGACAAGCAGCTCAATTTAAAAATGAGTGAAGAGACTTCCAGCCAAGGTAGAGGCATAGGTAGATACACTTTGCCTCCTCGCACAACCGAAAGGACAACAACAAATTTAAAAACAAAAAATAACCAGAACTGCCAGAAAATCAAACTGTATGGAAGTTTGACAAACAAGGAGTTGAAGAAGAAACATTCACCCAGACCAGTAGGAGGGGCGAAGGTAGGCAGATGGGCAGAGATGATGAGCAGCAAGGCAATGGCTGGAGGGCCAGGCAGACAAGGCAGCAGCTGGTGGAATGGGTGGTCCCACATTTGCTTGCAGATAAACTGGGAGGAACAGCTGGGGAGCAAGGCAGATCACACAGTCCAGGATTCCAGGGCCAGGAAAGAAAGCCTCAAAACCTTTGGCTGTGGGGGATGAGGTAGCATGAGGAACTCCTAGCTTCACAGGAGAGTTCATTGGAGAGACCCACAGGGTCCTAGAACATTCACAAACCCACTCACCTGGGAATCAACACTAGAAGGGCCCAATTTGCTTGTGGGTAGTGGGGGAAGTGACTGAAAGCCAGGTGAGAGCTGAGCAAGTGGCATTGTTTCCTCTCAGACTCCTTTCCCACATATGGTGTCATAACTCAGAGACCTGGGTTGTCCCTCCAACACCTGGGGCAAATACCTAAGGCTACACCCCTTCCAATGTAATGGGCTGCTGAGACAAACAAATTTGGCCCAAATGAAAGAACAGATCAAAGCTCCAAAAATAGAACTAAACAATGCAGAGATAGCCAACTTATCAGATGCACAGTTCAAAACACTGGTAATCTGGATGCTCACAGAAATGATTGAATATGGTTGCAAAATGGAAGAAAAAGTGAAAGTTATGCAAAGTGAAATAAAGAAATATGTACAGGGAACCAACAGTAAAGGGAAGGAAACTGCAACTCAGATCAATGATTTGGAGCACAAGGAAGAGATAAATATTCGGCTGGAACAAAATGAGGAAACAAGAATACAAAAAAATGGGGGAAGGCTTAGGAACTTCTGGGACAACTTTAAACATTCAAACATCCGAATCTTAGGGGTGCCAGAAGGAGAAGAGGAAGAGCAAGAAATTGAAAACTTATTTGAAAAAAAGTGGAGAAGTTCCCCAATCTGGCCAAGGTAGTAGACTTTCAGGAAGTCCAGGAAGCTCAGAGAGTCCCAAAGAAGTTGGACCCAAGGAAGCACACAAAGGCACATCATAATTACACTACCCAAGATTAAAGATAAGGAGAGAATCTTAAAAGCAGAAAGAGAAAAAGAGGCAGTTACATACAAAGGAGTTTCCATAAGACTATCAGCTGATTTCTCAAAAGAAACCTTGCAGGCAAGAAGGGACTGGCAGTAAGTATTCAAAGTCATGAAAGGCAAGGACCTCCATCCAAGATTACTCTATCCAGCAAAGCTATCAGTTAGAATGGAAGGGTGGATAAAGTGCTTCACAGATAAGGTCAAGTTAAAGGAGTTCATCATCACCAAGCCCTTAACATATGAAATGTTCAAGGGACTTATCTAAGAAAAAGAAGATCGGAAACTATGAAGAGTAAAATTACAACAAACTCAGAACTATCAACAACTGAACCTAAAAAAGAAAACACAAACAAAAACAAACTAAGCAAACAACTAGAACAGGAACAGAATCACAGAAATGGAGATCATATAGATGGTTATCAGTGGGGAGGTGGAAGGAGGAGAATAGGGGAAAAGGTACTGGGAATAAGGAGCATAAATAGTAGGTACAAAATAGACAGGGGCAGGTTAAGAATCATATAGGAAATGGGGAAGCCAAATAGCTTATATGTACGACCCATGGACAGGAACTAAGCAGGGGGGAGAATGCTGGAGGGAGAGGTGGTGCAGGGCAGAGGGGAATAAAGGGGAGAAAAAAATGGGAAAATTGTAATAGCATAATCAATTTCATATATATAAAGGAAAAACATAAAAATGAGTGTAGAACTTGAATAGATATTACTCTGAAGATACACATATGGCCAAGAAGCACATGAAAGATAGTCAACATTACTGATCATTAAGGAAATGCAAATGAAAACCACAGTGAGATAGCACTTCACATTTTTAGGATTTTAAAAGAAGGAAAAAAAGTGTTGGCAAGGATTGTGAAATAACATTGCTTGAAGGAATGTAGAATGGTGTAGTTGCTGTGGCAAAAATTTGGTGGTTCCTCCAAAAGTCAAACATAGAGTTACATTGTGACCCAGCAAAACCACTCTTAATGTGTCCCCAAGGGAAATGAAAACATCCATCAATGGGTAAACAAATGGGGGGTTGACCTACATAATGGATCATTATTCAGTCATAAAAAAGGAATAAAGTACTTTGTATGCTATAACTTGTATGAACTTTGAAAACATTGTTTTTATATGAACAAAGTAAAAGAAACCAGACACAAAAAGTCACATGATATATGGTTCCTTTCATAGGATATATCCAGAATGAGCAGATTTACAGAGACAGAAAGCAGACTGGTGGTTACCAGAAGGGGGGAGAGGGCTGGGGAAGGATTGCTTCATGGGTACAAGGTGCTTTTCTGAGGTGATAAAACAGCCTCAAAACTAGAGGGAGGTGGTGGTTTGTACAACATTTTGAATTATTTAAATATGTACTGTTGAATGGTTCCCTTAAAAAAAATTAGTTGTAGATTATGTGACTATCACAAAATCTTTTTTTTAAAAGTGAGGAACTGGCTTACTTTTCTTTTTCCTCTTGAGATAATGCTCGCCAAACAATTTTATTCAATCGCCTGTTTAAAAAATAAAAAAAAAATTACTTAGTACCAGTACTTCATTTCAGAGCAAAAGGCTGACCCCAGGTTCTGAAGGGCAGTGCAGGGCAGCACAGACCAAGGGCCATCAGCGCTGGCCCATGCCACTGCCATTTGCTTAGACAATGGATATGAGTGCTCCCTCCCTCGGCATCACCGCAGAAGCCCGTGGCCTTGTGGCAGTCATGCTGCGTAGAAAAGGAGGGTCCAGTTCTCAGCAGTAATTGTACAAGCTGGTCCTCATTATCTCTGCGTGAAGATGTTTCTAAACACCCACTATTTTTCTTCCAAAGTAAAAATATAAGTGTGCCTTTAACTTGCCTCTGTAAGCAGTCTTCTGCCTGGATTCTCTGAGCAAAAGAGGTTACTAGGGTCACACATAACAGGACTGGGTCACACTTTGGAGATCAAGCAGCCTGTTGTCTTTACTTTCCAAATGAAGCCTCTGAGAGGGACAGACTAATGAAGTGCCTCGCTCACACACCACAGCTAGTTAACAATGCTGAGACCAAAACTCATCCCTGAACATGTTTGCAGAGAAGCTTGTCAACCCAAGAAAGGAGGCAGTTGGAGTGTGGATGGTTTCTACGGGGTGAGCAGAGATCCTTCTCTTGTTACTAATTGGCAACGCCTCTTTCAGAGGTTTCAGCTGAGCTCCGCACGGCCACACCATTACCCAAATCAGGCTTCCTGGAGTGCAGGGCCCAGAACGCTGGCTCCAGGCATTGTGAGCTGATGTTAACAAAACCTGCTTCAATAAAATGAGGTGGGAGAATATCGTCACTCTCCGGCAGGCATCCTTCTGGGAACACACTTTGGAGGTATCATCCTGCCCTGATTTCCTGTCAGAGCTTGGTGAGATCACAGAAGGGGGTTTGACAGGGTAGAGCACAGACTCTGAGCCAGACCACCTGGACCCAGAGCTCACTTAGCTTTTTCTCTTCTGAGACTTTGGCCAAAACCTTTGCCATGGAATGGGGATAATGACAGTATCCCCGTCCTAGTGTTACCGTGAGGACCCAATGGTCTAGTGTGTGTCTAACACACATAGATACTCTATAAGTGACAGAAAGAGTCAGGGAGTAGGAAATAAGCCAACTCAGTGCTCTGTCTCACTTGAAGTTTTTGGTTCTTTGGGGCCTGTTTGAAAATTGGGTTTCATTAATCATGTGGGTCATTTTACAGGGATGAGTGCTTCTAAGACTTATAAAAAGGATTCATAGGATGGACGCACTTTGGGCTTGTGTGTGTGTGCTTTTCTATTAAAAAAATCTTTATTAAAAATCATCATAGATCTAAACCTTGACAGTGGAAGCAAAGTATTAAGGAGTCTGAGTGTGTGGATGGGGGCTTTAGAGCTACACGGGTCTGAGTTCAAATCTCAGGGCCTCTGCTTGCTGCTGTGTGACTGGTGTTATGTGAATTTTTGAAATTCTATTTTCTTATTGATAAAACAAGGATAATACTGGCTACGCTGGAGCTGAGAGAATTGAGGTATATATACAGGGGTTGGCACAAGTAGGTTTACAGTTGTTTGTATGAAAAAAGACATGCAGGTTACAATTATTACAATAGCTGTTTCAACTCAAAAGAATGTCATAATGGCACAGTGCATTTACTTTTGCCCACTCCTCTATAAAGTGACCAGGAATAACTCAGTGTTCATTGCCTCTAGGTTCTGGAGTGGGACAAGCTTTGGCAAAGCTGAGAAACCATTAATGAATGTGTCTAATTAGACATAGACTTAGCACAGATCTAATTTTAATTCAATCCTGTAGAAAAATATGTTTCCAAGAGCACATTTTCATAACTTCTGTTATTCCCCTACTTTCCATCTTCACTGAAATATTTTAAAGCACACAGGGCAGACAAAATTGGTGGGTGTGAACTGAGGACAACTGAGGATTGATCTTAGCTTCACTGAAGAGGTTGTGGGGAGACCACAGGAAGCCCTCAGTGTGTGGGATGAGGACAGTCCCTATGAGATGCCATGGGCACAGGACAGGAGGACCTCCCTGCGGCTGGTCCAGCCCCTTGACTCAGGGATATTACTGCCCAAGGTTTTCCTCTTTGTTTTAGAAGAGTAAAATTTGCTTGATGGGTGGCATTCACTAGCTTTCTGTATCTTTACTTCACATACTACTTGTACCAACAATTGGCTCATTTGCAAAGCAACTTGTCACTAATGACACTTCAGAAGCCTAAGCAGCTCCTGAGCATCTTGGAGTTTGTAAGTAGAGGTTTTCCAAGGATGGTCTCAGAGCCAGCTTAGAACTGGTGCTTCTCCTGTGGATCTGAGGGCTGCGACCTTGACTTTTGACTCAATTAAAAAAAGCTGCAGAAAAATCACGCCAGAATCCAGCCAGCCCGGGCAATCCTTACTCAAAGCTTGTACTCAGACACACAAAGGCAAAATTCCTTCCTCCATTTTTAATATATTGAAACAGAAGTACTTCTACACATAGACACTGAGTATGACCAAAATAGCTAGTTTATGTCACCATATTGGCCAAAGGGCTGTGTGCTTCTCTTTTGCCTGGTCATCCCCAACCATTCGAGTTATGTCTGGCTTACTTGCGGTGGGAAACACCTTAGAAGTGTTATACTGGGGATGGAGTGGGTGTAAAGCAAGTTTCATTACTTTTCATATTATGCATGTCTTTTTTTATGTGCATGTTTTTAGGAAGGTGGAACAAAGTAAGTATTGACATACCAACAAAATTCTTAAATACTATTATTGAACGCAAACAATCAGGAAGTTTTGGGCTATATAATAGTAATGTTAATATTAATATTATTAAATAATTTTAAATAAATAGTTCATTTAACATAAACATCAAATTACTAACACTAATTAATATTAACCCAATCAATATTAATAATGATTTTTTAAAAGATTTTGTTTATTTATTTTTAGAGAGAGGAAGGGAGGGAGAGAAAAATCAATGTGTGGTCACCTCTTGTATGTCCTGTACTGGGGACCTGGACCATAACCCAGGCATGTGCCCTGACTAGGGTGCAGAACCGGCAACCCTTTGGTTTGCAGGCTGGCATTCAATCCACTGAGCCACACCAGCCAGGGCAGTATTAATAATTATTGATTGAATTAGTCATGTTAGATTTAATATTATTGTTAATACTAACAATATAGTACAGTAGTTCTCCAAGGGAACTAAAAGGCTTTTACAGATTCATTCATTGGAAGGAAGAAATGGGCAAATTACTTACTATGTATTTTGGTTTTTCTATTAACAAATAAAGGCTCTCTTCTGCCTGGATAAGAAGAGTCCCTGTCTTCCGGAAACCCCCGGGAAGAACTGTATGACAATGAAACTCCATTTTTTTATGGTCCTTTTAGGATCAGCAGACTCAGGGAATTAAAGGGGGAAGTAATTAACATTCATTACTCATATATAATTAACATAACCTTCCCACCACCCTATGAAACAGATTTTGTAAATAAGGAATCTGAGGCCGCAACTGTCACGTGACTTGCCAAGTAGCTGTCAGAGCCAATGGTGAAACCCAGGACAGAAGGTCTCCACGGCCCAGCCCGTGCCCTGCACCAGGCTTTCACAGACCAGGTGATTAGAGAAGTCAAATATTTGAATGAGCCAAGCAAATTAAATTATAATATGAATAATATTATTGTATTACATTTTGAATAACTGAATTTGAAAAATTTTAATTACTAAAATTGAATTAGATCAAATTCAAATTAAATTCCAGTAGTCAAATATATAGATAGTGACATCTGTTAGGAAGAGGAGACGAAGGAGAAAGCAAGGCTGCCCAAGCTCCTGCCTTTGGGAGCCCACATGCCTGTCCAGAGCTGTGAGTACCTGAGGGTCACACACAGGGAGGGTGGTGGAGAGTCACTGGGCAAAGGCCTTACTGAGGAGGGCCATTGGCACGGAGGCCTGAGAAGATGCCAGATGCCAGCTGGGGGACAGGAGAGGGGCAGCAGAGCTCGGAAGCAAAGAAAGGCTGATATAAAGCAGAGGGAAAGGCAGAGAGAAAAGGGGCAGTGCCAGGCTAACTAACAATAGAGGAAAGTTGCAGGCCTACAGGGAAGGGCAAGCTCTGGTATAGTTCATCCTGCCTGCAAGAGAAACAAAGGGCAGACTACGATGAAAAAATCCTGCCATCTGGAGGCCTGTGTTGGGTATGGTGGGGGAGGCAGCTTCTGTTTTGGCAGGTGCACGCCTCCTGCAGGAGTAAGGCTTTGTGCTTCTTTTCAACACACACTAGGAACACTGCACGATGGCAATTGACAGTATATGCTGGCCTGGGACACAGTGTTAATTTTTGTGTACTTTATTTCATTTTTCCCACTCACATGGTAGTAAATAAAAACCCAGTTACATAGCTCTAGAACCAAGAATAGGCTTGCTGGGAAAAGCCAGGCACATTCCAAGTTTAATGAAGTGCTGTGCACCAAGGATTAATTAAACTTTGACGTTGAGGTGGGAGGTGATTAAAAAGGTAGGACAGGGTGAGACTGGATCAGCTGCCCTTTTGAAAAAAGGCCCCTATCTCAGCACTAACACAGGACCATTTCAAAGTATAATTTTCACTGTAGTCAACTTGATCACTTTCTTGATCTTGTTATAAAAACTGTTTGCAGCCCTAGTCCATGTGACTCAACTGATTGGAGCATTGTCCCATGCACAAAAAGGTTGTGGGTTCATTCGATCCCTAGTCAAGTCACGCAGCGTAAGAGAGGCAACCAATCCATGTTTCTCTCTCACATCGATGTTTCTCTCCCTCTCTTCTTCCCTTCCCTTCTAAAATCAATAAGCATCTCCTCAGGTGAGGATAAAAAAAACTGTTTACATAATAGCACACAATTATGCTATCTCCATTATCTCACTATCGTAGGGTTTTATTGGTCACTTTACAGAATGTTAGGTGCCAAAATGACCAAATTCACTCTGCTAAAGGGAAAGGTTTAAAAATCTTGTAGAAACACGAGATTTCTACAGGTTCATCAAAGGGAAGACAGTTTAAAACTATGTTGGACATGTTCAGGTGAGGTACTTAACACATGCCTGGCACACAGGAAGTGTTGGTGTTTGCTGTTGGTGCTGCTGATTCTGACATTCCTTGTGGATGAGTTTTAAACAGCTACTCCAGATGAAAAAGATCTAAGCTAACACAAGAGAAAACAAGCCAAAACAAACAAATCCCACAGTCATCAGGGAGCAGCCCAGAGTAATACTCACTTTTCATAGGATTTAATTGCCTGTTCCACTTTTTGCCTGTAGATATTAAGCTTGACTCCTTGGGGGTTAATTAATGTCATCTTGTTTGTGTCGTTGCACACATGTGCCAGAGGGAACACCTACACATCAACACCATAGGAAAGCGTCATTTGATAGGTTAATAGGTACTTTCAAAAATGGATCTACATGGCTATGTGGTATGTTTTTCTGACTATAAGATCAATATAATTGTAGAAAATTAGAAAACATAGAAAATCATCAAAAAGATAAGAATTACAGATATCATTAGTAAACTTTTTCTTCCAAAAACTATATATTTAAAAAATAACCACCACCACAAACGAGAATAATAAACTCTTTTGGGGAACTGTAGTCAGAACTGAGCATAACTTTGTGAACCTCTGTCAAATTGATGAGGGTGAGTAATAAGAAACAGGGTCTAATTGTTGCTACCTGCAAATTACTACTTGGGTTAAACATCTTTTTCATATATTTAATTTACATTTAATTTTCTCTTGAGAATATCTGATGATAGTTAACCTTTTGACCACTTTCCTTATCAGTTGATAAGAGGTTCCTATACATGTCAAATCAAGAAGGGTTAGTAGTCAATGGAACTGCATTCTATAAAAACAGCAGAGTACCAGGCTTGTTTCTGAGTTCTTTCTGTCTGCACCTGGCTTACATCCGGGGTTTGAGAGGCCTCTGATTTCATGCCATCTTAATAGTACCTATAATACTGTACTTTTATCTGTTTGCCTAATACCCATTTTTCTGTAGCACAGTGTAAGCTCTGCCTGAGCAGGGCTTCTTATCCCATGCACAAAAAGGTTGTGGGTTCATTCGATCCCTAGTCAAGTCACGCAGCGTAAGAGAGGCAACCAATCCATGTTTCTCTCTCACATCGATGTTTCTCTCCCTCTCTTCTTCCCTTCCCTTCTAAAATCAATAAGCATCTCCTCAGGTGAGGATAAAAAAACTGTTTACATAATAGCACACAATTATGCTTTATTCACTACCGTGTTCCTATCACCTAGAACAGTGCCTGGTACATAGTGTGCCCTCTGCAAATATTTGTTGATACATAAATAAATATATGTTCACAAAGAGGCATAATCCATATCTTAATATTTAAACAAAAAAAGGAAAAGTCTGACTAAGTAAGCTACAGCATCATTTCACAATTGTACCTGATTCCAACCACAAGGAGAATATAGATGTGTTGGAAATATGGGCAACTTTTTTAAAAAGTAAATTTTTACTTTCAAGCAATCAAGATTATGTAGTTCATGCTTTTATGTTCCCCCTTGCCTCCAAAATCATACAAAAATCATATTGTTGTTGTTGTTGTTTAAAAAAATACATAGAAAAGAAAGAGGAAAAAAGATGCATGGTTGATAAATAGATTTCTAGAGACAAAAGGCTGAGCAGAACTATGAACAAATGAGCAGGGCTGAAGCTGTGGGCTTGCTGACTATCTTCAAGGATGGTGGGGGCCATGGGAGCTCAACTCCTGGAAAGCATGTGGGATTGTGAGTGCTCTGTGTATAAGACAAGGACCCAAGAGAGGCTCAGTGCCTGAACCTAGCACTGGTAGGAGGCTCTCCCATGCCTGAAGGAAGTCCCAGTCTAGTGAGAGAGGACAATGAATCTATAGTCCACCCTCTGAATCTACAATACTCCAGTATCATCATGGAACAAACACTCTAAAAGCCAAAGAGGAGGCTCAAGGGGATGGATTCAGGAAAGTGCAAAACAGAAGGATAAAGAGAAAAAAAAAGATTAAAAAACTCTTGTTAAAATGAGCCAGAATACTAAAATTCCAAAATACACACATGCAAGCCAAAAAAATGATAGCCGAGCAAATTAACAACCATAATGTCAATTCACGAGAAGAAGTTAACTCATGAGCCATCTAACAATGACTTTATATTAAGTATGGTTAGACTGTTCAAAGATATAATAGTCATATAAAAGTATAAAAAAATACAGAAGTGCCATAAGAAGAAAGGAATGGGAAAAACTACAATATTTTAAAAAATAAAGTAAAATTCTTCTTGGAAAAGCAGACATTGAAATTGAAAACTACATACATTCATTTTGTAATTAAAAGATCAAGACCAAAACTAACAAGAAAACAACAAAAATTCAGGAAACCGAAGAGAAAATCATAAAGAAGTTGTATAGTCAAACCTTACTAGTTGTCAGACACATGAATTCAGCATGTGGCTTCTAACAATTGTCAAAAGCAGGAGCCAGAGCAGTGGGTTTACTGGACTTTGAAAACTGAATGAAGCTTGCAGAAATGAAAAAACAAAAAAACTTTCCAAAATAAAGCTACATATCACATAAATTTTGAGAGGGTGGGAGAGGCAACAATCTGAACAAAAGACCCTTACATTTTTATCACCTCTGGGTGGGGGGGAACCTCTTTAGAAGTCTATAAATAGCCTTCCAAGTTTGCCAACTTACAAAGCTTAATTACAAATCAATACCACAAAATGTTTAGCAGCATTATCATGGTTCACCATGATCAGTCTGACTCCTCACTTATTATACTTAAAGAAAACCCATCATTTAACATGCTACTTCCCTCTTTGGTGGATTTGGATCTCATGCCTTGCATGGCCATAATGTACTTCAGTGTGGCAGCAGTTCAGATTTGTTCAAATTTAGCTTGTGTGCATGCAGATTCAGGGAAAGACAAAATCATACTCCACACCTTCAGTCTGTGGTCTTAGTTTTTACAACATGGTGGTCACGTGGAGGTCTCATGGGATATTCTCTTTATGATGTCAAATTTAGTGTGACTATGAGGTCATAAGAAGCATTCTCACAGGGACTTGGGAGGTCAGCATTATGGTCCAGATGATGTTAGGAAGCAAATGGGGAGGAGAGTGCTGTTAATGAAGAAACTGACAGCTGTATTTGAGAGGGAATAAAACCACCTGATCACACTTCCTTTGAAAGTGATTTGCTTATTACCTCTAATAATGCAAACTAAGCATCACCAACTAATGGGAGACTTTCTAGACAATATCTGATAACAAAAGGGAGCCTCAAGCTATTACTTTAATTATCTTGAGGTTAATCTAGAAAACTTACCAAATTGATATTAATAATCACATTCTGTATAAGACGATTTTAACTAGAGAGGAGAAAAGAAGGAGGAAGAGAGGAAGAGATGGAGGGAGACACTGATCATAAAGGCAGAAGAAATTTCTGGAGTTCATAGACAGCCAATCTGGGCTGATTCAGTTAGAATTTTTCCCACTGTTAGACCAGAAATACCCTAAAAGAACCACTGTACTTAAAAGTATCTTTGTCAACAATGATAATCGTGTTTATCCTTTCACCTCTGCCAAGTGCTAGGTACTCTCCATATATCTCTCATTTAAGCATTGTATAAAATATATTCATATATGCAGTTCTTATTATATGACTTACCTCTCCACTAAACTGTAGTTCTTTATTCCCTTTAAAAACACTAGTTTCTAGCACATGTACAGAATAATCATTTGTTGAACACATTAAAAATTAAAATTATATATAAATTAAAATAATGGCAAAGTTTCAAAAGTGTTTAAAGTTCATCTATATCATAAAATACAATTAAGTTTGGATGCCACCAAATTTGAATCCTTGGTAACTTAGGCATGAGATGAGTATAACTTTGCTAGTTTTAAAGAGGTGTTTGCTGAGTATATGAATAATGTGAAAAAGATTTTAGGCTTACATAATATGAAAGAATAATGTGAAAGATATTAAGCTTACATAAGAAAAGTATTCTTAAACAATTAAAAAAATAAAAAATTAAAATGAAATATCATTCCAGATATCACTTGGCAAGTTTTTTAAATATTACCATTCTACATGATAGCAAATATAAAGGGAAATGGGCATTCTTAAAATTCCAAGTAAACTGACTCAAAATGGGGGGAATGGTTAAATAAATTGTAGTAACTCATATTATTGAATATTAGTACAACCATTAAAATCATTCAAAAATGGTCATTGCAAAGAAATATGGTCATAACATATGCTAAAATAATAAAGCAGAATATAGAACTATACACACAGCTATTAGTTGCTAAAGTAGTACAGGCAGAATTCCACCTTATAACATTCTGTGTTTATAAGCAATCCCACAATCCGCCTTTTGAAAATAAGACGATAATGTGAAATTGGTATTTATATATTTATTGTTCAACCCTGACTAAATTCACCAACTACTTTTGTGTTTTCAGCAAAGTAAGTTCTTCCAATAAGTATCCAGAGCTTGCTGCCAGATTGGCCAAGAAAGTTCTGACTGGACATGTGTAATGAAAATGCAAAGACCATGCATATACCTGATGGATAACTTTGACTACAGATGGATAGTGCAGTTGTACCAACTATCACATGCTAAAGCCTAAATGCTTGCTATTGAACTGAAATACCTCCAGTCTCCAGAGAACAAAATGAAGGCAGGGCCACAAAATTAACTGATAAAGCAGTGTGTCAATAAGATCATTCATGAACCCATGAAAATATGTTATTTATTACAGTGTAGATTACAGTATAGATTATATCTTATTATACATTACATTTTTCAATATAAATTTTTAAAATATATTTTATTCAATTTAAATTTCAATAAAAATGTTATAGTAGATACATTTGTTGGCAATGTTCACAATAGACTATTGAGCAAAACTGAAGGTACAAAACAGTATATTTAGTTTGACTTCATTTTGGTGAGACAAAAACCAAAAAAATGGACATACACTAATGATTCATCTGTGGTGTAATTATAAGTATTATTACTTTTTCACTTAACTATATTTTTTATTTTTTTTACACAATGAATATATATAGCTATTGCAATAACTGTGCTTTTGAACTTTTAATTAGAGTAAGTTTTCTATCAGTAGAAAAGTTACATTTAATGCTACTGCATTTGAAAGTAGCAAACATTAGGTCTTTAGTAGCATCCCTAACCTCTCTGCACCTAATGTTGTTCTTAAGCTAAATGACAAAATGAATAGCCACTTCACTAGTTTGCTCCAAGTTTTAAATGGAATACTTTCATGATAGCAAACGTTTCACTCAGAATCTAGCATGAGGACTCATACTAGATTAGAAACCAGCCATGGCCTGTCAGGAATGAATGAGCCAGGCCATCTGACCATAGAGCTATTTGCTGAACCCAGATTAGGACAAAGCAAGGAGCCTTGATGGGATGCTATTAAAGACAGGATGAGGATGAAGATATAGGCTTTCCAATGAGATAGGCTAATGTTCCAAAATTATTTTGGTTTTATTCTCAAAGCAATCGGCAACAAAGAGCTTCAAAGTCTAGATCCATCAAATAACTAAAACCAGTTGCTAGGGAGACCTCTGCTCAGTACTTCACTTTCAAGGTGACAGATTTGATGCTGCTCCAGAAAACACTAAAAATCAAAATAGCATTGTGTTCTAGAAGAAGAAAGCCCATAAATAAGTCACGAATGAAAAGAAGAGTGTTGGGGACAAAGCCAAACACTGCTTTATCTTTTTAATTTTTTTTTTTAATCCTCACCTGAGGATATACTCATTGATTTCAGAGAAAGAGGAAAAAAGAGAGAGGAGAGACAGACAGGCAGACAGACATCAATAAGATGCCTCCTCTGCATGCCCAGATCAGGATTGAATCTGCAACCTAGGTATGTGCCCTGATTGGGAATTGAACACACAACCTTCTTTTTTCTTTTTCTCTTCCTTCCTTTCTTTCTTCCTTCTTTCCTTCCTTCCTTCCTTCCTTCCTTCCTTCCTTCCTTCCTTCCTTCCTTCCTTCCTCCCTCCCTCCTTCCTTCCTTCTTTCTTTCTCTCTCTCTTTCTCCCCTCCCTCCCTCCCTCCTTCCCTCCCTCCCTCCTTCCCTCCCTCCCTCCCTCCTTCCTTCCTTTCTTCCTCCCTTCCTTCCTTCCTTCCTTTCTTCCTTCCTTCCTTCCCTCCCACCCTCCCTCCCTTTCCTTCCTTCCTTCCTTCCTTCCTTCCTTCCTTCCTTCCTTCCTTCCTTCCTTCCTTCCTTCCTTCCTTCCTTCCTTCCTTCCTTCCTTCCTTCCTTCCTTCCTTCCTTCCTTCCTTCCTTCCTTCCTTCCTTCCTTCCTTCCTTCCTTTCTTTCTTTCTTTCTTTCTTTCTTTCTTTCTTTCTTTCTTTCTTTCTTTCTTTCTTTCTTTCTTTCTTTCTTTCTTTCTTTCTTTCTTTCTTTCTTTCTATCTTTCTTTCTCTCTCTCTCTCTCTCTCCCCCCCCTCTCTCTCTCTCTCCCCCTCTCTCTCTCTCTCTTTCTTTCTTTCTTTCTTGTGTGTGTATGGGATGACACTCCAACCAACTCAGACACCCAGCCAGGGTGCCAAACACTGTTTTATAATTCTATCCAGATGGATGTGGCTGTGCACAGAACATAGGAGCAAGAATCAATTAAAATTCTCAATGAAGTGGGTTTAGATTCTTGTTTTCTTTTCAGCTCCATTCTAGTTTTTGTCTACTTTTTCATAAAATCTTAGGTTCAAGTCTCAAAAAGCTATACATCCCAGTAACTAGGACATATGTTTAGATTTTTGTTTTCCTACTTTTTCCATTTACAGCCAAGGGTCTCTTAAAGTCAGATAAAAAATTAAGGACTAAAAGATGTAAGTGTGCTTTAAAGGTGAAATTGAATCTATTTCAGTATATTTCCATCATAATCATGATTTTTGTTCTTACCATCAATAATAAAGAATGGGCCCTGACTGACATGGCTCAGCTGGTTGAGCATCGTCCTGCAAAGTGAAAGGTTGCTGGTTCAATTTCCAGTCAGGGCACATGCCTGGGTTGCATCCCAGTCTTCAGCTGGGGTGCGTGTGAGAGGCAACCAACTGATATTTCTCTCCCTCTCTTTCTTTCTCCCTTCTCCTCTCTCTAAAAATAAATAAATAAAATCTTTTAAAAATAATAAAGGATGGATGGCCACTGGTTAGTGTGTGACCTATCCACAAGTTTGTGATGAGGGTTTATAATGACACAAAGGTACCAAGCACATATTCTATGGTAAAATGTACTTGAAAAATGTTAGTCCTCCTTCTGTGGTTCTGCTTTCTAGAGCCAGAAGACTAGAATGTTCTCCTGAAGAGCAGGGCCCTTGCTATTTTTCCTCCCAAATTTTTTTTCTTAAATTTGACTTTTGGACTTTTTCTCTCTCAGCTCCATGTGGTTTGATCCTGTCTACTTTATAAATAGCCTTGGATCCATCCCCAATGGTACCACCTGGGCCAGAGCCACCTTGGCTTTGCCTCCTGACTGCCCCTCGTCTTCCCAGCCTCGGACCCTTCCAACCCTTCTTCAGATAGCAGCCAAAGCCCAAACTTGATTTTTTCTTTCCTCTGTTAAAAGCCCTTCAGTTCCCCTCAGGATGCTATTCAAAGTCTTTAACTAAATCAAAACCCTTTCTTCCCCAGCTTTAACATCTTCCTCCAGTCACACTAAACTTTCTGTAGAATGACAAACCTTATCTGACCCTTAGACTTCTCTATACACTCCCCCACTGCCTAAGACACTCATGCTCACATCCATTCCTTTGTAACTTCTCCTTTTCCCCAGGTCTGGACTTTTTTTTTTAAATTTTATTTTAATTTATTTTTTCAAATACATTTGTCTCTGCCAACCCCCCACCACTTTCCCTTGCCCCCTCCCTCTTTCCCTCCCTCAGCTCTCAGGTCTGAACTCTCATGGCCATGTTTGAATACCTCTCTGACATGTGAAACTGCATTAGGGGATGCTCCTACATCATCACTCTCTACTTCCCATATGACATATTTAACTAGAACTTCTTATTTAGTTGCCATTTCCTTAACTGTGTGTTGAATATGTAATCCAATATTTTTTCTGAGATCTGCCTCCATTTTATTTATATGTTTTTATTGAAAATAACATTTTTATTTTTATTTATTCAATCTATAAATCTTTCCTTTATGGTTTCTTCTTTGGATTTTATTCTTATGTTTTCCTACCCTATCATGTTTGATTGTTGAGAAATTTACTTTTGATATATCTCGGCTTGAGAAGCTTAGAAGGAGACTGGATAAGCATTAGAAAATTCTTCCAAGGAGAGTTCACTAAATATACTTTATTCCAAATAAAACTCAAGAATATTAATAAAATAATTGGACAGAATATGAGAACCTGTCACCAAACTTCTTAGAAGAAGTAAATTTATACCCGGTTTCTCTCTGTTGCTTCTAGAAAAAAGTAAGTTCAAGTGGTAAGTTGATATCTGACTAATCAGGTTAGAGCTCACTAGAGGTATAAATAGAATCTGCCAGTCACAAGATGACTGACAAGGACAGGACCACTCACCTTAAGCCAGAGCCATGAGGGACCCAGCCTAAGTGATCACACGTACAACCTCCAGAGCCACTGGTCATGTCACGCAAGATGAGTATTAAAGTCCATGGGTATAATTTCTTAAATATGACTAATATAAAAAACTCACCAATTCATCCATTTCTTCCAAATACATCAGATCTCAGCCATTGCAAGACCAATTAGATAAAGCTCTTTTTTTAAAAATATGTTTTCCTGCCTTTGATGTTTTTTTCAACTTTTTCTTATGGAAAATTTTAAATATGTAAAAAAGGAAGACAGACATTAACATGAGCTTCCCCTCCCATTTAATAGTCTTATTATCCAAATATAACAATTATCTACTCATGGCCAACCTTGCTTTATCTACTCTTCCCTTTCCCCACTATTCCTACCATACAGATTATTTTTAAGCAAATCCCAAACCTCTTTCATTCCTCTGTAAATATTTCAGTATGAGATAAGGCCTTTTAAGGATATTATTTTCATTTAGTCACTGTAAAGCCGGATATGTTCTATTTAAATCATGAGTTGGTATTATATTTGCAGCACTGGTGTTCAGTTCTTATATTCTCATTTCTTTTGTGTTCCCCATCCCTGTGTAATCTGGCTGCTCCATAGGAGTTATTCTTGCTAAGGGCAGGGCCTTCTTGTCACACAAGTCAATGGAAACTCTTCAGTACCTATTTGGCTTCCTCCATATTTAACCCTGCCACTTCCTCTTACTGGAAGCTCTTTTTTCTCCTTCTGGGATATGAATGTCTGTCACTTGTCACTCTCTTAGAGCTCTTTTGCTCTGGCTAACTCTCCATTTCCTCCCTCCTTCTCTCTTTCTCTCTTTTTCCTTTGGAGACTTTCATGATGGCAAAGATGCCACTGTGCTCAGAAAGGGAATGTGAGCAAAGGAAGGAGATACGGTTTCTCAAGTTCTCCCTGTCCTTTGGTGTTAGACGATACTCACCCAGGACTCAGGACTCTGACCCAGAGGCTTATCAAACACTGCTGCAGCTGCACTGCCACCCAGCAGCAGAGGACCATGAACTGCCAGCCTAACAAAGGTCAGTTCCTTTAGAGCTTAATAGCAATAATGCTTAAGGGCTCCTCTTTCTCCTTTTTACTGCCTTTACAAATAAATATTGATCAATGGGTGAAATACATTTTTGTTACAAGTGTATATGACACCAAAGTGGATGACTTTTCATTTAAGTGGGAAATGAAAACTACATCAAACAGAAACATACAGAAAATTATTTTACCTCATCAAAGACCTTGGAAACAACATGCTTGTCCAGAACGGGAATGTAGGTGGGGCTGTGAGGGACAGCTGTCACTGACAAGGCATCCATCATGGTGAGTTTCCTGGCAACCAAGCCATGGGTCTTGAGCCAGTTTACTGAAGACATACCTGAAGAACTAAAAACATTGATTGTGACATTTTAAAACTTAAACAAAAACATAACAAAACTGTCCTAGTAAAATCAAAACACTCACTCCTGGTCATAACCTTGGCTTCCTTCTGGAGTCAACCTTCTTAATGATTTGTCATCTGGATACTCATTTGTCAGCAGGATGCTCGTTTCTGTGGAAAGAGAAATGGCAGTTGTATAATATCCTCAAATATTGGACTTATAATAAAATACAAGAGGGTCACACATATCTCTGAGTTAAGTTGTGACTGAGGGCTAAGAAATGAGCCACATTTCTGAGAACACTGGTCTGTCCAAGCGGTTTCTCAGAGAGGAGTCACCTGCAATTGGCGCTAAAGGCCAATGGTTAAATATGGTGCTGTCATTGTTTTATCTACCTCAACCCATGATCACTGAGATCTCTCTCCAGGGAAAACTGAGGCATATTAATTTACTCATTCTGCAGAGAACACATTTTTAAAATGTTAAATAAGAATATCATTAACCAGTGATTATTCAATGTTGCCCTCATTAGACACTCCCCAAATTATACAGGGGAGCTTTGATCGACATTTCAGTTTTTGATAGTTTGTTTTGTGCTTCCTTAGCTGTAAGTAGGAAAACCAAATCCCTATTAGGTTCTATTTAGTTTTAGGTTCAAATTTTCAAATTGGTACTTGGGGGTTTTAATGTATATCAATATATTAACTTGGATTTATTAATGAAAAGGAAAATTCACTCATTAAATGCCCAAGATATCATATCCTAATCATCATATGATAATCCCTGTAAGGACTGTGCATGGAACAGACTGAGGAAATATGGTAGGTTAATTGAAACTGAGGAAAAGACATCAGCTAGATCAGCACTGAAGATCACAAGGTTTGATTAAGTGATGACTGAGTAACAATAGGTATGAATTTGACACTCAGGTGCTTCCTACTACCTATAGGATTGTGTGTGTGTGTGTGCGCGCGCGCGCGCATGTGTGCACATGCGCGTGTGTGTGTAGCTGGGATTTATTATTTATCAACTATTTGAAATATAGAGAAAAATACTACAGAATTAAACTTTTAGAAAACACTATTTTAAGAGTAATTATGTTATCAATAGTAATAAAAACTGAGTGAAAAAGTCATATTTTCCTCCCATATTTAGCCCCCAAAAGGCTGATAATATGGACCAGAGAAGGGCTCACTTCAGTTTCCCAACTGGCTGGTGCCACCTGAATGAAGGGAAGAAAATAAAAGAGCTGTGAAGTGTTAAATGTTGAAATTCAAACCTTGGAGTGGCAGCAAGCATTACCACTAGCACCATGGTTACACAGACCAAGTGTGTGTTAAACACCCAGGTACAGTGAGTGCAAGTCTCACTCTAAGAAAATCCAGTTCACAAAAGCAGGTAGACCTGATTTAAAAGAGAGCCCTCTGAAGAAAGAACAATCTGGAATCACTTAAAGATTATTTGTTCCACCTAAAGTATCTCTACCCAGCTCTTTTAGGAGCAGACACATTGGGCAAAGGGAGGCCAGCCTGGACTTCCTGAAATAGAGACCCTCTCTAGCTTGCCTCTGTCACTTGGAGTGTTCCAGTTGCTGAAATTGGAAAAGTTGTCCTTCTTGCTGCAAGCTGAGCTCTTCAGGGTGGATATCTGGCTTCTGAGCATGCTGGTTTTGGTCGATTCTGTGGTTATTACAGAGAGAGTAGTCAAAGAAATTTGTGAAGGAAAGAGATATCTCATTAGATGAAACTATTTCCTTGGATCCTTAAAAAAATTGCAGCTTCAGTTTCCCAAACCCCAGAGCACAGTTCTGCCACCAACTGAATGCTATGGCAATGGATCTGACCTTTCTGGAGGGAAATCTGCTTCCAACGTCATTCAGGTTGTCGGCAGAATCCATTTCTTTGCAGTTGTAGGAATGAGGTTCCTGTTTCCTGGTTGGCTGTCAGCCAGAGGCCTCTATCAGCTCTGTAAGGCACCCACATTTCTATCTCTGTGGTCCCCTCCATCTCTGAGCCAGCAATGGCACACTGAATTCCCCTTATGCTTTGTCTCTCTGATTTTCCATTCTGCCACCGGCTAGAAAAAGCCCCTGCTTCTAAGGGTTTGTGTAAGTACATGCCACCCCCCAATAACCCTGTCTCAAGGTCAACATAACATAATCAGAGGAGTGATGACTCCTCATCATCACAGGTTGCAGGGTTTAGAGTGGGGCATGTTTGGTAGGCTGCTGTCTACTACAGTTGCTGCCCACACCTTTATATTATTTTCTACCCTCTGTTGTGTCCCTTCAACTAGGAAGTAGACACTTATCAAATATTGACATTTAAACTGTGTGCTTTAGAGGATAATGAGACTGTACCAAGATACCTTGGTGAGTTTTCATATGTGATTATATAAAATATACTCATTATAAATATGTTCTTTACTTCACAGCTTGGAGGCACAAGTATCAAGGCTTTATGTAGTACTCATGAATGAAATGTGCCCTTGTTTTCAACAAGAAGGGACTTGCTATCTCCCATAAGAAATTAGATAAAGTGAATAGTAATCAGTAATTTGCCAATTATCTATCTTTTGCATGGAAAGGTAATAACCAGTAGTCTCCATGCATAGAGACAAGAGTGTGCTGTATGCTATTCAATGTTTTTCTAGGCAACAAAGGGGTGAGTCCTGTTTTGGTTGCCTCTATAACTAAGAATTAAGACGATAAATCTTCTTGGGCATGATGTCTGTGAAAAAGAGGTAAATGATCCATACAGGAGAGCTGAATTCCTGCTCCTGACCTCACTGGCAGACCACCTTGACCAAAATTACCAGGCAAAAATAATCACATACACAGGTACACCAAAATGAAAATAAATTTTTGCTCCAGAAGTCCCCAAACATAAAAACTGCATTGTTACCAAACTCTGCAAATACTGCAGTCGACTCTAGCATGTAACTGCTCCCCAAGCTCTGTATAGTCTGTCCCCACATTCTTTATTCTCTATATTAAAATCAAAGCAGAATAAAAATTCAGCACAGGATTGCCTATCATTAGCTATGATCCCAAACCTAAGTGAAAAGGTACAAGTGACAAAAGACATTAAAATATTTAGGATGGGCAGCAAGTAGCATTTTTAGCAAAATGCAGGTTGATTGGAATGGGTAGGCAGGGATGGCAAAAGGGATGCAGACACACAAGTGGCCCAGATTGGGAAGCCTCTCTGACTCCATAGGCTTAACACATTCTTTCCTTGCACAGAGGCACCAGGACAAGTGGAGAAGCCACCACAACCTTCCCCCACTGATAGACGTCTATAGTCCTTGCCTGAGGAAATTTAGGCAGCCCCTGCAGGGACCAGAAGCAGCCTCAGTAACCTTAGAAAACCAAACACCAAAACCATACCACAAAGGCTGTGAAAATTAAATTGCTATTGGAATCTCAGCCCACAAAAGCAGGCAAAGGTCTATGTGTTAACCTTCACCAGGGCATTTATTTACTAAAAGAAAAGATTTAAATAAAATCCAGAGTCCTTAACATAATTCCCTGACTAAATGTTTAGAATACTATAAAAAAATCACCCAGCACACCAAGAACCAAGGAAATCATACCACAGAGAGAAAAATATATTTTAAAGAAGATAAGAACCTCAAGCCTGCAGGCTAATAACAAAATACCCAACATTTATATCATCAGATCCCAAAGGGTGATGAGAAAGAAAGTAAAACTGAGAGACTATTTGAAGAAATAATAGATGAAAACTTCCCAAATTTGGTGAAAGACATACCATACAGATTCAAGAAGCTGAGCAAACCTGAAAAAGAATAAACCCAAAGAAGTCTATACCAAGTTTCATTATAGTTAAACATTTGAAAATTAGAGGGAAAGAAAATATCTTGAAAGTAGTCAAACAGCAAGGATGCACTACTTATAGGGGAACACCAATTTGAATGACAGCAGGTTTCTCATTAAAATGTAGGAAGCCAGAGGAAGAGGTACACTATTTTTCAACTACAGAAAGAAAAGAACTAACGACTGCAAATTCTGAATATGGCAAGTTGTCCTTCAGAAATGAAGAGAAAATAAAAATTTTTCTAGACTAAAAAATGCAGAAGAATTTGTGGCCAGCAGACCTATTTTTACAGACTGAATACAGGAAGTTATTCAAACAGAAAGGAAATAATAAAAGAAGAAATTTTGGAGACTCAGGAAGGAAAAAAGAACAAAAGAGAAAAAATATGGTATATACAATAGACAATCCTTTCCTCTTGAAATTTATAAACCATAGTTGATGATTTAAATTAAAGTTATAAAAACACTTGATATTCAAAACAATGATTTAAATTAAAACTGGAGAAGGTAAAGAAATCAAAATTGAAGTAAGATCTCCATGCTCCACACAAAGTGTTAAAATGGTGATGCTAGTACACTTTTATAAGTCACCTTCATATCTGTCATACCCAAAGAAACCATCACAAAAGCTACACAAAAATATACTAAAAAACAAGTGTCCATCAATAGACAAGTGGATAAAAATGTTGTGGTATATGTACAATGGAATATTATTTGGCCCTGAAATAAGAATAAAAGCTTACTATTTGTGACAGCACAAATGGACCTAGAGGGTATTAATGCTAAGTGAAATAAGCCAGGCAGAGAAAGATAAATACCATATGATATCACTTATATGTGGAATCTAAACAAAATAAATGAACAAATGAAACAGACTTAGAGATACAGAGGACAAATTGATGAAGGCCAGCCGGGAGGAGTGTTGGGGGGGCAGGGTGAAATAAGGTGATGGGATTAAGAAGTACTAATGATAGTTACAATACAGGCATGGAGATGTAAGGTAAAGCATAGGGAATGTAGTTAACAATATTGTAATAACCATCAATAGCACCAGGTAGACACTTGAATATAGGAGAGAACACTTTGTATCCTATATGAACGAATGTCTATCCATTGTGCTATACACCTGAAACTAATACCTGAATGCAAACTGTAAAAAAAAAAAATATGGGGGGGCAGATATTTTCCTGGCCAGCAACCACTGGGAGCAGCTGCTTTGCCCAGGGACTTCCAGTCAAGATGGAGGCATAGGTAAACACGGCTCACCTCCTTCCACAATCACAGCAAAAATAACTCAACAACAAAACAGCTAAAGCCCAGAATCATCAGAAAATCAAGCTGTATGGAAGTATGACAACCAAAGAATTAAAGAAGCCATGTTAATCCAGACAAGTATGAGGGTGAAGACGTGAAGACACAGGAAGATACAGAATCACATAAGGGGTGGTCCCACACCCATGTGTGGCAGATAAAAATTGGGAGGGATATCTCGGGAGTGAGGGAGCCCAGCCCCACACCAGACCACCCAGCCCTGGGTACCAGTGCTACTAGGAAGATAAGTCCCCATAACTTCTGGTTGTAAAAACTAGTGGGAGCTGAGGTGGTAAAAGAAACTGCAGGATTCTCAGGTGTCTTCTCTTAAAAGGCCCACAATGAACTTAGAACTTACCCAGACTCACTCCCTCTGGGCTCCAGCACTGGGGCAGCAGCTGAAAGGGTACCACTGGCATACAGTGAGAAACTAAAGTGTCTGGCATCAGAGCGAGTGCCAGGGGACAGCTTCCTCCCTGGCAAAACTCCAGAGGCCAGGCAGTAGCCATTATCCCCTTTCTGAGCCCTCCCCTACACAGCCACAGAGCAACACCACCATATCTGAGACTCCATAAACCTGGTTCACAGGGGTTACCCTGCCCTGGTGATTACCTAAGGCTCCACCCCATCCAACTTAGCAGTGCACTTTTCCATAATAGGCCATGTTAAGACAGGGAGTCAAAGCAGCTCTATCTAATACATGAAAACAAACATAGGAAGGCTGCCAAAATGAGGAAACAAATAAATATGGCTCAAATGTCAGAACAGAACAAAACTCCAGAAAAAGAACTAAACAAAATGGAGATAAGCAATCTATCAGATGCAGAGTTCAAAACACTGGTTATTAGCATGCTCAAGGAACTCACTGGTATTTCAATAGCATAAAAAAATACCCAGGTAGAAATGAACATTACACCAAGTGAAATAAAGAACAATTTACAGGGAATCAACAGTGGACTGGATGAAGCTGAGAATCAAATAGATGATTTGGGACATAAGGAAGAAAGTAAACAGTTTGATCCAAACAGCAAGAAGAAAAAAGAGTCCAAAAAAGCAAAGATAGGCTAAGGAGCCTCTGGGACACATTCAAATATATCAACATTCAAATCATAGGGGTGCTGGAAGGAAAAGAGAAAGAGATAACTTATTTGAAAAAATAACAAAGGAAAATTTCCCTAATTTGGTGAAAGAAGTAGATGTGCAAGTCCAGGAAGCACAGAGAGTCCCAAAGAAGTTGGACACAAAGAGGACCAAACCAAGACACATCATAATTAAAATGCCAAAGGTTACAAATAAGAGAACATCTTAAAAGCTGCAAGAGAAAAGCAGATAGTTACCTACAAAGGAATTCCCATAAGACTGTCAGCTGATTTCTCAAAAGAAACTTTGCAGTCAATAAGAGTCTGGCTAGAAGTATTAAAAGTGATAAAAAGAAAAGAACTATAACCTAGATTACTCTATCCAGAAAAGCTAACATTTAAAATGGAAGGGCAGATAAAGTGCCTCCCAGACTCCCAGGTTAAGCTAAAGAAG